ACAATTGATTTTGTCGTCGTTCAAGACTAGGAGAAGGCAATTTGTCGACAAGTCTATGTAGTCCATAGCAGAGGTTAATACAATCAAGCCCAACAATTAATGTACAAATTCTTTCTACGAACAAAACGGTACAGATTTTTTATCAATTGAAGTTTATATGATGGATAGATTGTAGTTTACTTACCGGGAATAGGGTGATATCCTTGCTGCTCAAGGTATTTAGCAGCTTTGAGCAAAGATTCCAAGCCAGTCATTGGCTCAACGATAAGGTTGATGGAGTAAAAATAGAGTCAAAAGGATGCAATCGATTTCAACTAAAAAAAATAATAAATTATTATTCCACTTCCACTGATCCTCTCTTGTCATTGAACTTGACTGAAATGACACAATACAATACAGCGCACTAATGTATACGATGTCTAATGTAATACCCTGCAGAAAATTTTTCTATTATTACCCAATGTTCAACCAAAACATGATAAGGCATGTTGTTTTCCATGTATTTTGAATACGGTCCACGTGATGAGCAAGCTCTATTATGCGATTGGTACTTATCAAGATACCTCTGTTCTTTCCACCAATCACTTCACACCTTGTTGATGTCACACAACCGGGAAAAGGTACACGTGGTCAAATGACGTACAGACACCAAGTCGACGTCCAGGACACTGTTGTATTTGTTGTATGGCGCTGAATGGACTGCAAAATAGACGTTCAGTGGGCAGTATACAGTTCTGTCCAGTCTACACCCACACTCGGTCTTTTTTTTTGGGCATGAGCAAGCTTGTTGTTGTTTACGATTGATTCATGTGCTCATTAACAAGACGTCCGGGTCGCGGTTAAGGCGACACGTCAGTGAGATGATTCAATGGGATGTACTGACCAGGCAGTCTGTCGTCGTTCGACCGTGACTTTGAAAAGCATCCAATGGCATGATGAAATACCTACAGTACAGTACTGTATCGTACAGTACAGTGTACTGTATTCTCGTGCTGCGACTCACACTCACTCAGCATCATTTGCTTTTACTAGTTTGAAGTGTGCAGAGTGTGTCACACCCACAAGATGGACAACATCCATGACGTTCCGAAATGGCGCAACTTCAATATTGCCTTACCACTCTGCTACTTTACTGTACTCTAGGAGAAACTGTTGGCAGAATGGATGCCTTCCCGATGATGATGCTTACGTATTTTTTTTTCTGTGTTTGATCGCTGGCTAGGATTGTTATATGAAATGATCCAAGACGATAGATGATATTGTCAAAGGAGTACAACACCGTACAGTACTAATTGTTGATTGATAAAATAATAAATAGAGCCAATAGAAAAGAGGCAGACTCTGATGATAGGGACTCGGGTGTCTTCGAAACGTCTGTTGACTATACTACGGATTTCACAAAATCGGTCAAGAGCCAGGTTTTATTCGTATCTTAAGGTTACATGCAGCCATTATCCAAATACGGTGATGAGTAATGGACCAACAGTAGCAACGTGCCTACTACAGTACAGCAAGATCATCATCATAATAATAAATAGACACTGTACTGTATAGAATGATTATCATAAGGATCACTACCACCTACTCTAAATACACCGATAACCAGGAAGAAAACTGTTCCTGCAATCAGCTCACGTTTTAGTTCAAAGACATTCAGCTTAACGTCTTAACATCGTATGAGTAAAGAATTCTAGTCTGCTATCATCCCTGATAATCGATTCATTCTCGCGTAGGATCTACTCTGAAATATTGCCCGCAAACCTTGAAACTGATATCAATTACTGTTTAGTGTCATTGCTAATCAATCTCAGTACAATGAAACGATCAACTCTTGATACAGTCTTATACACGCCTATCAACGATGATCAACGTAAATCACTGTACTTCTTTATTAAATTACTATCTGCAAATGATAATGATTAGTATTATTTATGCTAAGCTCCGAAATTCCAAAGTATAGTGTACCTTCTTAATTAATTAATCGATGAAGTCATTTGCCCAATGATAATACCAATATTAAAATAGGATAATACGCCATTTGCTTGTACCAAATAAAATAAAATTGAAATTGATTTCAAAAAGAAAATGTACAAGTAAATTTTGTAGAAATAGTTGTTATGTAAAGCTAGCATGTATGCGGCAATAGGATCGTTTTTTGAGGTATAATTGCTAGCTACGCACGGTTGTAGCATGGAACTCACTCTCTGATTTAGTCGGTATACCAGAAACTAAAAATCGTCACTTGTATACGTTGTAGATAGTGATTTCCCCCTCCCCCTCCATCCGATTACGCGTAGAGCCAGAAAACTTTAATGTACAGTGGATAATCAACACATAAACAATTACCGTGGTGTAAATGTAAGTGTCATCAATTTTACTCTACTGTGCATAATGATTCTATACAGTCATGGATTACTGAAAGCAGCGAGTAGCCCATGGTACAGCCTGTGTTTTGTAAATTTTAGATCTGATCACTAAATGTGAAACATCTCGTAGAGACAAATCATTTATTTTTTTATTTATGCATATCGAGTAGTGTAGGACTGTACTGTACATCATATAGTAAACGTTACATTCTCACATAAGGACTTGTTTACAGGAACTATATTTACTGTTAGTAATTTCCAAATCAGTATTTCTATGGCTTCAACCATTCTTGATTTACAGTTAGTACGGAGAAGATAGAAAAACCAATGAAATCGATTAGGTTGAAATATTCTATTTTTGTATCTTTCACATACTATATGCATTTATATAATCATGGACAAATAAATTGTGTAATCATACAGGATACTTTACTGTTTCTATAGACAGGTCGATGGAGTCTTGTTTGTGCAGTGTGGACTAGTGTGGAACTGTTTAAAGGGATAGGCGGCATCAACGTTTTCAATGTTTACATTTCCATTTTACAATGATTGACCAACTTCAACGACCTGATCAGACCGGGTGTTGCCCGCAAACCGTGCGCTGGCATGCTGATCATCGCTCCGAAGCAAATACGGAACTAAAGTATATCATCACGTTGAATAATAATATGGGATAATATTAATATACATACTGTCGCTAAAAATAACGCCATTTTCTATTTGTACAGTATGAGAGTCATATCATGATACCAAATGACGGTACTAAGCAATAAATTAAGTCTATACAACAGTGTTATGATGACTCATAAATCCGCATTGTAGTCGACAGACAGTATGCGTGAGCGTTATCCATGGCAATCTACCGTGTCCGATGGCATAAGTACTTCAAAGCCCATTCTGGGTCTAATAGTTTCACTTTCAAGGGTAACATTTGTAAAAGCTTGGAATAGAACGCGTTGCACCATCAATAGAAACGATTACCGCATAAAAACGTACACTTTATCGCCAATGGATAGCATGTGCTTATTATGTATTTGGCCAATTCTATCATTAATTCTGTTATTTTACTGCATGTTTCCAGGAACAGTCCAGCACTATTAACATAATAGCACAGCCGACCGAAGCTGATGACTCATGGCCCATTTAATTTAGTATTTGATGTTTGTCACCTGTCCACTCCTGTGCAATGCACGTGTTTACTATGCCATGTATTTACTTTATCTCAGTCTTGCTAAGTAAAACCTTATGATCATTCTCCTCTTTGCAGGTATTGATTTAATAATACGAGCTGTAAAACATTGAACTTTCAAAACTGTTTATGTTTTTTTGTTGACAGCAAATCTACAAATCATCAACTTAGGAATTTCATTCTCTCATCATATAGGGGTTGGACTGCTTGATGGAAGTAGTTTACTACAGTATTTTTAATAGTAACAACAAAAATCACCCCCAGTAGAGCTTTTTGGATTGCACTAAAGTCGCTGTAAAATGAATGATTCAATCTCCAATGCAAGAGAATTCAAGGGAATGATGGAATTATTACACAGAATATGTTACAGTATATCGAAGTCAACAAGGGTATCGAATGGATAAACAGTTTAGGATACCGATCAGTAGTTTCGAAGACGTTATAAAACTGAAAATATTTACAATCTTACCATATCGTTTCATTCATTGCTTTTTTTTTTACACATGAACGATGTATCTCACAAAGGACTTGCGAGACCAACAAGCTGTACACTCTCATGCACGTAAAACTACTCCATTTCTAGCGTTCATCGCTGTAATTTAGAGGCTAATTGGATAAACACAGCAAAATATGTACTACAAGATTGTAATAATCAGCAGTGTCTATCTGCTACAGGATCAACTTGAACACAATAATAAATCAGCCGCTTGGATGATACAAATTGATATGGAACCTATCTGTTTATATACGTACTTTTCTTTCGCAGTTTACGTAATTTTACAGATACACGAACACGAGTAGTGTTCAATATTCAATCCCATTCGGTCATTCACAGCGGTGAGGACCGAAAGACTTGCATTGGAGATGACTGAGGCTGACATCCTCGCCATCAAATTAGTTATTATAGCAATTAAATTTCAAATCGAATAGTAGTAATGCCTATTTCGGCCAAAATCTGATGCAATGTTAGTTCAATGAGAAATCATAAAGCTGCTCGATTATAATCATTAATAATCAGTTATATTATGAGTGGTAACGTACCAAAGAAAGAAGGTTTTATCTATAGGCATTATTTAGTAATTCTGTATGGAATCAATTTTTACGTTATGTAAAGTTTATGTAGTCAAAAGTGTAATTCGCGAGAATTGCTATAGATAAATAAGTAAAAAACGGATACTGTTAGTCTGCTAATAGTTTTTAGCGTTGTACTCTCGGAATTGATGATGTACGGCACATCTACATTTTCGCTAGCGGTGACTTTGATTAGCTGGAAAACTTATGAAACAAGGATAGAATTTAGAATTTTAATCATTGGAAATCGATTATAAAGGCTTAGATCGAAGGTCAGCACAGATACAAAATAAGCTATTCGATATCTATTGCAACATTCCCCAGCATAGAATAGAACGATGCAAAGATAGGCTTCCACAAGTAAAGTTTCGACGTCACATGATTGAACGACCAACAGATTGATATTCATTAGCATTTTTGCCATCACTAGGTGTACGCATGAATTTTTGGCTACATCGTGGAAGCGCATTTCCTAACTGTGCATCTGTAGTCTTTCGCTTCCTCGTAAATTATATTAAAATACTTTGTAGACCAACAGTAGACTAGTAGAGACTCTTTTAAGAGTTTTCTTTCTGGTATATCGAAAGCGATTAATATTACGAAAATATACTGCACGTAACAGTGTATCTTATCGATTGATAACATCTCCAAAAGTAAACCTGCATTGGACGGGCGTTACAAGAATCTATGCAATAATCACCATTTCCACGCACAGATTAATACACTAATTGCCATTTACAAAATTTACTTCGCTTCATCTTTAGTAGGAACTGGCCAGATCATTTTTGGACCATTCTGCCATTGCCGCAATCCCCAAAGTAATCCATCCTGCCTTTCTTTATGATAACCAAGGCAATGAGATACATATCGTACATTGTCTATGACTCGATCGCGATTTCGGTGCTGGTGGCCGAAAACATGTAGTACAGATTTGCATTGACGCAATTGCTTATCAATATATTTACTGCCAGCATAAATGCTGAAATTAAAACCTGCTAGAGCACCTTGCCTCTTTGCGTAATCTAGCTTAGGAAGTCCAAGAAATTCTCTCTCAGTACTAACGGCAACATCGTCATCGTGAGACGACGCGATCAACTCTTGCCTTGGCAAAAAATGACTGAAAGTGATTACAGGTGCGTCGTAATCATCGGTGATGAAGTCATCATTTAAGTCCGCAAAGTGCTCGGAAATGGTAGTTAGCATACCATCAGGCCATTTGCAGTTATAATTATCCGACCAAATTTCTCGTGACATTCGTCGACTTTCAATTGAGGAGGGAAAATATAAAGAATCTATTTCATCTTCTTCTGGTTGAGTATACCAAGAGTAGATCGGCACTAGCCAGACTTTGGAGTTGTCAATACACGAGACACAAGTTGGCTTTGTCTTAATGCCAATTCTTTGACATAAATTCAAGATCTGCCCGAACTTTGCTATAGAGTTGGTATCGCCATCTCGGTGCTTTCTGACCCACACGTCATGATTGCCTAGAAGAGTTGAGCAATTGGATGAAAGTGATTTGTTAGGTAGAGTTCATTCATGATAACGATCCAACATTTTAAATCCATTTTGTTGCCTACATGGAGAGACGTATATCACTGTGGAACTGCAGTAGCTATGGCTAAATTAGAGTAGTGTGAGATAAGGTTGCATTTCAAAGCATTCACTTATGTGTACACCACTAAGTAAGGAAGAGTAGATTCAGCAGTAGGATCAGGTCTACTTGATTGACTCGTCTATCCTCGTTCTTTCAGTATGAGAGTAATTTTAATGTTATGACTTGTAACTACAGTGCATTTAATTTATAAGATGATGTTTGGATTGATAACATGAAGAGTCCATGGTTTGTTAATATGTGGATGGTTGCATCATAGCACTGGCAAGCAGCGAATTGGGCAACGTGAGCTATCCTAGTAAGTGTACATTACCGGGAACAAAGCAAACTTGGGCAAACTTTTGACGAAGAAGGATGAGAGTGGATTTTAATAGTTCCAAAGAATCAGTGACATCTCCAGCAAGTATTAACACATCGTTGTTGTAGTCCGTATCTGACCAGTCATTGACAACAGCCCAATTTTGGCCGTAATCGACATGGAGATCAGAAATGGCAAATATTCTGCTCATCGTTGCAACGACAGGTTTAGTACAATAGCTTAAATGCTTGCAACTAAGGCTACCTGCTCGACATAGATTATACAACATAAGCAGCAATTGCAATCAACTGTGTATGGTAGGTATCGATAACTCGGCAACGATAGATGTATCCTGTGTTGTTGAAAGTGGAGCCATATACCCTTTCAAATCCAAGTCGAAGTTCGCCAGTTGACCTAGCAGAAATGAAATGAATTGACAGGCCACACCACGGTTTGAATCGATATGCAAGTGTCCTTGAATACAGTCAGTAGACTGCTAATGTTAGGCTTGAGTAGAGTAGAGTAGAGTACAGTACACATCAGTGCTCCATGCAATCCTATGGTACACACTGCGCAGCGGCCATGATACCCCCGGTACCGGGCAGTGGGCTCCGGCCAGCCGGCTACAAATTGCAGTCACAGTAGTGTACTGCTGAAGCAAAAGCGTCCACACGCCCACAAACCATTTTGATATGCAACATTGGAAGAGGCCATAGTGGCACGGTACGTTTGGTACCGTATGGTCCTTCTTCAATCTCAGTCACGGTATCGTGTTGCGTACCGTACGTTCCGCCTGATTTCACCATGATTTTTCGTGATTTATAGTCTAGTCTACAGTACACTGTACACAGTATATAGTACTGTACATTGTACAGTAATATACTGTAGTCAGTCTGTACGAGAATGTACAGTACAGTACAATTTGGGGACTACTGTACTGTACACATTACACTGTACAGCATCAAGGCAAGTTCTCAGCAGTGAGAGTAGTGAGTCAGCTATACAGTACAGTCGGTATACTGTACAGTGTACCCTGTACAGTAGTGTTCCCTAGCGTTCCGCCTGATTTTATTTATTTATTATACTGTACTGTACTGTACTGTACACTGTATAGCATCAAGTTCTCAGCAGTGAGGACTCACTGAGACAGTATGGTACTGTACTGTACACTGTACAGTCTGTACTAGAATGTACAGTACTGTACAGTATACTGTAGTACAGTATAGCACAGTGTACAGTACAATCCAGTACAGTACCATCTTTAGACTACTGTACTGTACAGTACTGTACAGTATACTGTAGTACAGTATAGCACAGTGTACAGTACAATCCAGTACAGTACCATCTTTAGACTACTGTACAGTACTGTACAGCATCAAGACAAATTCTCTGCAGTGAGGAGTGACTGCAGCGAATGGCAATCTCTGCCAATAGTATGAATGGATGATGACAGTATTGGTACTGTATACTGTACACTGTACAGTACTGTACAGTGTACAGTACAGTCTGTACTAGAATGTACAGTACCATCTTTGGACTACTGTACTGTACACTGTACAGCATCAAGACAAGTTCCCTGCAGTGAGGAGTGACTACAGTACAATCAATCCAGTACAGTACCATTTGGGACTACTGTACTGTACAGTGTACACTGTACAGCATCAAGACAAGTTTTCTGCAGTGAGAAGTGACTACAGCGGATGGCAATCTCTGCTAATAGTACCATCAGATGATGACAGTATGGTACACTGTACTGTCTGTACTGAAACTTGCTCACGCCTTGAATGACTATCACATGACCATGCGTATACTGTACTGAGTACAGTATGACTCTTTTTACAGTACTTGCGTCATGTCTGAATCAGGGCGACTTTTGACTGGTCTGTGTAGTGCCATCCAGACTGAGTCGTATTGTACCGTACAGTACGCTACAGGACTGTAGAGTGCACAGTACCGTAGACATTGCACTGTACTTAGGTACTTGTTAAGCTGACGAGACTGCGATTCTCTTTACGCTTCCCGTTGTCGGTGGCTTTAGCAAAGTAGAAGACGTCCTGCTAATCTTGCCAGAAAAATCTCAAGCTGCAAAATGGATAAAGTTTCTGCAGCCAAAGAGCACGTTGCTGCCGTCACCAGAAATTATATTACTCAACCACGATTAAGTAAGTCAAAATAGGAGAAAAGACGATTGAAATGAGTGATAGTGGACAAATGATCCATGTTGAGCTTGCTCCATATGTCAATGATAAAATGAAGACAGTATTGGCGTTGCCTGCAGTGTACTCCAACCAAAATGGGTTGCATTAGCGCAAAAGGGAATCGTCCTGGATCCAAGCTTTCTTGCTGAATTGCTTTTCTTTCTTTGTTATTTATAGCTTATAAGACTGTGTCTGGTGTCAACGGTCCCTTGGTTATCCTGGATCATGTCAAAGTAAGTTACTGCGATCATCATTCCATCCATATCTGCCAACAACCAAACAATCTGCCATACTGCAATCATGCCCCATCAACATAGTCTTATCGTCACATGCACTCGATAGCGAACATACCGATATGGAAAAGCCATATGTCGACACCACATTCAAAGTCAAAAGTGAAATAACAGCCTTGCAACGATAATCTTTTTACGCCATCAAGGCTGTGCTTTACATTACCCTATCCATCTGCTAAAATACCGACATGGTCAATCAGTAGTTCTATATCATACGCTAATGGATTCATTGTTACCATAACTTAAAAAGTAATTTGTACGATAAAGGGTTAGAATGATCACTTCTCTTTCAATTGGAAATTGATATCGACAAATGGACTCCATTTAAATTGCTTGAACTCTTTTCTAATGCATTTTCGATTGACATCCAAAGTGCTAGAGGAAGATAGTGATAAAGACACTTTAGTACTATAATATGCGTATGATTAAAGTCTTGTGCCACTGAAAGAACTACACTTGCTTACAGCTATATCGACCGGTAGTAGTAGGAGTAGTAGTATGCTACAGCCAACATGACATTTTGTAATACATATAGAATGCTGTCCAAACCTATTAGAAGTAAAGTATTTCAAAATTGGACAAATCATGCTAATGATGTGATGAAATCACCATGAAAGCAGTTGAAATAGTTGCTCCCCACTTTTGTCCTGAACTAAAATCTCATTATCCATATTGTCTAGTTTCCTAAATTCGCTGAGATTGTCAATCTAACCCTACCCGATGGGACTAAAAGAAGCGGACAAGTTCTTGAAGTAAACGGTTCTAAAGCTGTCGTACAGGTAAGAAAATAACTGTTCAATAAGTGCATTATTTTCATCGTTTCTATCTGATAAACGCCTATTTCAATATTGTATGCAGTAGAATACATTTTTATCTATATTTCGGCCATATACGCATATAGACATTCCCATCAATGCATATCAACCGCTTCTTAAGTATAGACTGCATATCAGTAAATTCGTCAGGTGCTACTACCTTGACATGCACGGTATCGATGCAAATGTAAACGAAAATAGATCATGCTCTTGGCACGGACATCGTATTACAAATGATATCAACTAGGCGTCTATACTATCCATGACATTATTTTCTATACTTTTCCTTGGTTATGCCTTTGCGCTAGGTATTTGAAGGGACATCTGGTATCGATGCCAAAAAGACAACTTGCGAATTTACTGGCGACATCTTGCGTACACCAGTATCAGAAGATATGTTAGGTAGGATTCGCATTTGTTTCGACAATCCAATTACCATTCTACTTCTGCAGCCTTCAAGTTGGTAAAGCAAAGATTCGTTCTAATCTTATGTTATCGTTTAGGACGTGTTTTCAACGGCTCGGGTAAGGCCATTGACAAAGGGCCTCCAGTACTTGCTGAAGATTTCTTAGATATCTCAGGCCAACCTATTAATCCTTGGTCGCGTATCTACCCAGAAGAAATGATCCAAACGGGTATCTCCGCTATCGATACCATGAACAGGTAAGTCAATATTATTGCCGCCTTCCCTTTCCTCGAGCCTGCAATACAATTTATGAAACGTTTTATGCTGTAGTATTGCTCGTGGACAGAAAATTCCAATCTTTTCAGCTGCTGGTTTACCTCATAACGATGTAAGTTAATATAATTGAATTACTACGAATATTGCTTTCGTTTCTCAAACATCCAAGCCAATTTAACTTGTACATGATGTTATAGATCGCTGCTCAAATTTGTCGACAAGCCGGTTTGGTCAAAGTGAATAAAGGAATTCATGATGATCATAGTGATAACTTTGCTATTGTCTTTGCCGCTATGGGTGTAAGTATTCTTTTTTACTTATATAAACTAAATTGGATTGTCTAGTTAAAAACTATATTTTGGGCGAAATACAAAATAAAAATCATCATTACATCATGTTTAGTCTATCCTTTAGTGTAGCAGTACTAATTAACATTATCATCACATTTCCCTTCAAGGTTAACATGGAAACTGCACGTTTCTTTAAACAAGACTTCGAAGAGAACGGTTCTATGGACAACGTTTGCTTGTTTTTAAATTTAGCTAACGATCCAACGTAAGTACCTATCTGTTACTTTGCGTGAAGTAGAAATGGAAAGGATATGTGGACATTTTATTAACAAGGATATGTAATATTGTATTTCCTGCTATGCAGTATTGAGCGTATCGTTACTCCTCGTTTTGCTTTGACGACAGCCGAATTTTTCGCTTACCAATGTGAAAAACACGTTTTGGTTATCTTGACTGATATGAGTTCTTATGCCGAAGCCTTGCGTGAGGTAAATTTGGTGTTTCTATAGTTAAGGTTTATTCTTTCTTTACGTTTTATGAATGAGTTACCACTTCTGTAGGTATCTGCCGCTCGTGAAGAAGTACCAGGTCGTCGTGGTTTCCCTGGTTATATGTACACCGATTTGGCCACTATCTATGAAGTAAGAATTTCCATTCATGTTGGGAAAATATTGACAGTAACAGTAGTTGACTAGTTTTATAATGTTGTAGCGTGCTGGCCGTGTAGAAGGTAGAAATGGTTCAATCACACAAATTCCAATCTTAACTATGCCTAACGACGGTATGCGAAACTTAAAGACACTATAAAGATACCCTTTACTTAAATTAATCTGTAAGATAGCTGTCTTGTCATCAGATAAGTATAATGGGATTTGATCATCTTTTTCGCAGATATTACTCACCCTATTCCTGATTTAACTGGCTACATTACGGAAGGCCAAATTTATGTAGATAGACAGTTGCACAATCGTCAGGTAAGTCATTAATTTAGTCAATTGAATGATACTAGTTTAGTAAATACCGCTGGTACTGAGCCTATTCTCTTATATTTAGGTATATCCACCAATTAATGTATTGCCTTCACTATCGCGTTTAATGAAATCTGCTATTGGTGAGGGTATGACAAGGCCTGATCACTCTGAAGTTTCTAATCAATTAGTAAGTCCATGCATAAGGCTTTCAATATTATGTAATATCCGAATGTTGCATTGCTGTTAATGCTAGATTGAAGTATGAAAGTATTTTATCTAAATTCTGTTTATGTTATGTATTATAGTATGCCAACTACGCCATCGGCAAAGATGTACAAGCCATGAAAGCTGTTGTAGGAGAAGAAGCTTTAACGCCAGAAGATTTGTTGTATTTGGAATTTTTGGGAAAGTTTGAAAAGAACTTTATTTCTCAAGGTTCGTACTGTAAACACGCAGCGTGTTATTGTAGAGGTATACCGGTATATCTTGACACTGACTAATATTGAATACCCTTTCTTAACTTTTAGGTGTGTATGAAAACAGAACCGTCTTTGAATCACTTGATATTGGTTGGCAGTTAATGCGAATCTTCCCAAGGGAAATGTTGAAGCGTATAACGAAGGGTACACTCGATGAATACTATTCACGAGATTCTCGTGGTGCCCAAGCTAAATAAAAACGAGGAAAGTGATAGGGTTTTACAGGAATTTCCTTCCTGCTAACAGTTATGTTACATTTCGAAACAATCAGCTGTATTTTAACATGAATGATTAACATTTGCCTATGAAGCGCGCAGTATCAGAGGTTTATTAAATTATCTTTGGTATACTACTATTCGTCAAATATGTCTTGAGTTATACCACTATAAGTAGTAAGTGCTTTTACTAGAAGATGGCACATGATTACCATAACTACTATTACTTTACGTAGAGAGATAAAACTTGTTATCCAAGTTTCTATGAAGGCTTTTCATTTCTTAACCAAGTAAGACATAAGAAAATGCTTGTATTCAGTAGTTTAAAATTTACAAAAACAACTAATATATGAAAGTTTTGATCGCGGAATTGGTGATTAGCCCTAAATCACCGGAGAATATAATGTGTTAATGTGCTTTTATAGTTGTTGTATAAGGTAATAATTTTTACCGATAATAAATTTGAATAGAATTTCTTTCGCTTACCTACTTCGATGTGATTGTTATTGCTATATTTTCGTTTTTAATCGTATCGAATTATTAAGTTTTCGACTTTCAATCTACTTTATATTCAGTTATGCGTATGATTCCATTGCCTACAGTAATTACTATTACTAGTATTGACGCTATAGTGTGGCTAGAAGTAACGATTAAAATATTACGTTAAACCACTGCTTCATACACATAGCCTACTGTTGTTCTCGTGGTTAGATGATTTCGATTTCTGTTGTCTAGCATGAAGTAAAACCCAGTGTTGTAATTCTTGTGTGAAAACAATTATGCAAGTATAACACCAAACTCGCACCTACACTAGTTGAGAAGAACAGCGTATACATTAAACATTGCGTATGCCTCTATGTATTTTCCAACTATAGCTCCTGTCAACTGGGTCATTAAGCTGAAATAACAGAGTACGCGTATACTATAATAATAGTTATAACCAGTTCCATGGATCATGGAAATTTTCAGATTTAAACTCTTCCTTTTTCGAATTATGCGGTAGATTCGATCAGGTAGTGTACTCTTTCAGCTGATGTATAAGAACAGCGAATTTAAACGGTTTAAATAGAATAAAAATGATGCCAATTTTATTATAAACTACGCAATACTAAACTAGTTACTAAGTTATTCTCGGCTATATCACGAAAGAACTAATTAGTTCAAATACAAAATAAGCTAAGTAAGTAAGGTTAGGCCTATACTTTTTATGGTCTAATTATCATGATCCATGTACATCTTTTTAATACTGCTGTATCACAAAAGGGAACTCTTTATAGTAATTGAACAACCCGAATGAAATTCCGGATAGCACAATAATTTACCGAATTACACTGCTAAAGCAACATCGCTCGTCACGGATAAGATAACAGAAATGTGATCAAATTTTTTAGCAATCGAGGTGGCTAATTTTATTATTGATATTGGGATTTCTTACTTCATTTTATCTTGTTCTAGTATAGGCAGATCCACTGCTATACACAATTATAATGATGTAATTACAGTTAAATTATTAACGTGATGAAGTTATTTCCTGGATTGATTTAAGATTATTATATAATCAACAACGAAGCAATCGTAAGCATGATAAGATAAACGAGAGATTACGATGTGATTCTGGTATTTTAGTTAGATTTTAATTATTGTAAAATTGATAATTTTATTCCTCTGAGATTCTAGATATTTTTGGATTACTCTAATATATACAATCTAAGCTGATATGATACAGTATTACCATAATAGCATTTGTTAGGAATTGGATTCCACAACTGAAGAATGATCGCCATTAGATTGACAGTCTTGGTCAGGATGATTATGGCTATTTGTAGATTGATCGTTAGAGTTTTCATGATTACAATTGTGACCGTCTTGAGATTCAAATAAACTTGGATTAAAGCGGAAATTATCTTTTTCAGCCCAAATTTCATTAGTACTGGGTTTTAGAGTAACTGGAGAACAAACTTCTGAATCGATAACTGTATAATCAAAACTTCGATTGATACTGTTACTTTCCATTTCACTGTATTTCCGTTGCTTGCGTCGTTGTTCTAATATCGAAATTACATTTGCTAGACGCTGATGTAGCATTTTTTGTTGTTTTTCTAGTTCTTCGATACTAGATGAACAATCTGTTGAAATTGTGGATTAAAGCTTCTTCAGTAAAGATCATTTTCAATCTCATATTTATCTAACCTTTTTATCATCACCTAACCTGCTAAACCAATTGACCCTGCAATTTCAAAATTTTTAAGTTTCTTTTCTAATTCAGCCACACGTGCACCTAGGATCCTTTTAGATAAAAATCCATGAAATAGGAAGCAATTAGGTACTATATGTCAAAATTTCATGGACCTATTTGAGGTTTCAAATTTCTATAATCTTATAACTCCTTGTGCCAAACTGTGAACAGCAATATTTTGATTAATTGCATTCAAAATTACGAAATCTTTGAACTAAACATTGTACAATAGTAGCAGCTTTTGCAAGCGTTTAGGTCTTTATTTAAAGCAAGTAGAAATTAATCTCCTTTAGCAAATGGAGAATTAGCTATTAATTACAATTATGGCTACTAAGTAATCCGAAATAGCAATACAAATTTAGGTTACGCTTTTATATGAAGGATGTGATCGTAACCGTTCTTATTCGATTATAAAGTGTTGATGGATGAATTTTTTCCATTTAAATACTGTAGATATGTTATGGTCATTGAATTAGTCGACCGTACAATTACATAGCTAGTCCAAAACTTTAGTTTTTGGTGAGTGTTCAGTAACAACATATCGATTGTGGGATTAATCGTGATCATGTACCTATTGGTTCGCCTTTGATGGAGCAATGCGGTGTTTTTATCAGTTACAGTTTCTTGTAGGGATGTTGCTAGGGCTTGCAAATCGGAGAATGTTGTAGACGCATTCCCAACTTTTAAATCTAAGAATAAATTGAATTCAATTAGATGGAATAAACAAGACTAGCATTGTTTCCATTCTACTCAAATATCATTCAATTCAAGCTGGAATCAGTTTAGATGGATTCGTACTTGCACCAGCTTTGGATTTTCTTGGAGAGCTGGACATAATTGATCCTCCCGTTAAATCGGATAAGTTAAATCTTACACTTTTTAACTTGCACTTATCAAGAGCGGACTGTAAAACGTAGATTGTAAGTGTCAAATGGTATAAAATCTTAAAAGCAATTATTCCTAATATTTGTCACTCGCAATCTTTTATAGTAATTGTCATCATAACTCGATGTAGTACCTTTAGTTTAGAAACAGTTTGTAAGGCAATTTTCTTTTCTTCTACACACTGCTTCAACCTCTCCTTTAAATATCTGTACGAAAAAGGTTAAGATTTAGATATTTGGTATACCCATGCATAGGAAGTATCGATTCTAGTCTATACATCGAAATATTGCTAATGATACTAACCTGTTTTCTACTATGAGTTCATCGATATCATAAATTCGTTTATCATCGCCAGTAATCATATAATTTAATTCTTGATTCAATCTACTAGCTTTATCGCGATGGGAATCCCGCTATTTAATTCAGAGTATGTTTAAGATTTATAGTCCAAAGAAACACCTCTAGAAACTGATCTGAACTAGCTGTTTTACCTCCTTCTATAGATCTTCTACTGTATAACTGATTTGCAATATAATTTTAATTAATTCAGAAATCTAGCGGGTGCTTAAATAGTCTATTCTAGGATAAAATGAACCATAATTGTACTCAACATTACTTCAATTTCTAATTCACTTTTTTCATCGGTTACATCTTTAATAAATCGTTCATATTGGATAATCTGTGAGACCATAGCATCAAATAATTAATAAACTATATTATTCTATTAATCAATTGCAATGGTACATTCACAACAGCTATATTCAAACTACACAAATTTTCATGGCTATATACCTTTTCATTAGCAGATTCCAGCTCCAAAACTAATTTCTTACGCTCGTCTTCTTGTATATGAGAGTGTTCTTGAGTTAAACTGCGTACCATTTGTTGCTGGCGCCGCTTAGCTTTTTCTCTCAAAAGCTAGAAATGAAATTAGATTGAGAGAAGTAGTAAGAAAATAATTCGTGTTCGATTTCAGAGTCAATAGGGACAAATAATAATTTACTTTAATATCTCCTTGGGCTTCGCAAAATCTTTGTCTGATATGATCCAGATCTAGTTGCAAGCGTTTAATTTGCATCCGTGCATCGCATAAAATTTGAATCATACCCTATTTGAAAGATTTGATTTGCATTTCAAATGTATCAGCTCATGAATTTGAATATTATATGGATTTGTTACTCTATTAATCATAATCATAATGACTTGTCTTACGTCTTACTTTACTTTTATGCTTAAATAAGGCGATAGAATACGGTACATCATTTATTAAATGGTATGATTGATAAAGTTTGCAATTATCTAGAACAGTATACTGTTGCAGGGTATAATTGTACACTTTAGTAAAATTACCTTATTACGACTTGATTCATGAATATAACGCGCATCTCTGTCCAAGGATTTCGTGTAAAAATTGTCATCTTTCTCATCATCCTTTTATAGAAGGAAATATACGTAGAGTAAGTCCATGTATTCACTTACAGTTACATCTGATTCATTAAAAGCAGTATAATTTCCATTAAATAGCAGGCAATAAAAGTCAGTTTATTTGGCATGCAGATGGCTACTTCCTCAAGCCTCAGTATTTCATCATATGCAAAGTGCCAAAAAGTTAGGACAAATTTATAACAATACTATTCGATTTACATTCTATGTATGCGTACTTTGACCATAACATAAACGGATACGTATTAACGATTAATTAGCTTTGAGAATGACAGACAAATTTATTTTGTGATAAGGGCTAATCGAAGTCTATCATTTCTACAGAGTAACAGTGTCGTAGCATGGGTGACATTTGTTTGCAATAAAGGTTATTAAAGCTTTCGTTTCTGCTGGGTAATAGTGCCGTTATAGGAGTGGAATTTATTTTGCAACAAGAGCTAATCTAAAGTCTTTCATTCATGCAAGGCAATAGTATAGTAAAATTTGTTTTGCGGCAACGGCTTGATCGAAGTCTGTCATTCCTGTAGAGCAATAGTATCATTATAGGAGTGGAATTTGTTTTACGACAACAGCTAATCGAAGTCTTTCCTTTAGCAGCGGAACAGCATCATTATACGAGTGAAATTTGTATTGTAATGAGGGTTATAGAAGTTTTTCATTTCTATAAGGCAATAGTTTGGTTATAGGAGTAAATTTTAATTTTACGACAAGGACTAATCGAAGTTTTTCATTCCTGCAGGACAATAGCATCGTTATAGGAGTGAAATCTACTTTGTAACAAGGGCTAATTGGAGTCTTACACTTCTATACTGCAATAATAGAGTTACATGACCGAAATTAATTTCTATAGTGCTCATTAATCCAAGTTAGATACCCAAGAATATTTAGTTGTCGATGAGGTTACGGTTTCCCCATTTCTTTCTTGTACCTGTAAGAAGTAAATTGAGAGGCTTAACAAATATTAAACTGTGCATTCATCAGAATCTTGCTTCGATCTAGACTAGGAAGCATTTTTAGCATTTTGGCTCATGATCACGTTTTCTAAAATATTCTTTTGTAAAATATTTAAAAATTATTAACTTGAGGTGATGTATGATAATATTGTACAATTTGAACATAATAATGCTTTGCTATTAATATCTGTCTAAGCAAATTAATCTATTATATCTGACTTTCAGATTTTTAGACTATCTGCATCTATTTCTGCATAAGATTGACTGTGTTGCTGCCATAGAAGAGTACGAACTAAATCATGGTCATTTGCTATTTAATTAGGCTAATTCGAGGGTTTAGCAAAAGATTTAACCTAAAAATACAGTTTAAAGGGAGTTTATGTCTTTATCTTACCTATTTTACTCACAGTTTTATTTTATGTTATCTATGTAGCCTGATATAAACCAATGTGAATCGCTAATTTTAATAAAACTATCACAAATGTTTTAGTATCGAAGTTGAATTATAGGAAGAGTTGGCTCGTACAAATTATCAAGAGATCATTTTTAGCTTAAAGAACGTTGGGAACGAAGAAAGTAGTCCATAAAAGTATTGATTACCGTCAATTAACGATATGTATGCGCAGCATTTAATAATCATTGTGTGAAACCATAGTAAAAATACTTATTGTACCAGATATAATGTCCTAACTTTATACCGTAATTTAACAACATAAAGTAAATACAGAGCCTGATGCTTTAAGTGTTCGGTAGGATCATCAGACTACTGAAAGCTACGATTCATTGTTGTAGATTGAGAATGGAAATAACTGAAAAGTTCTGTAACCGATTTATCGAACATAAATATAAAAGTTTTTAGCAACTTACCAATTGATTGTACTTTGTTTTATACAGATCCCTTTCTAATTGACAGGATGCTAGTTCTCGATGAAGAATCTGCAGAGCGGCTACCTTGCTGTCCAATCTCTGCTTGCAAATGTTGTACTAAACGCCATAAAAAAAAAGAAATCGAATATACAATAAATACTCGTGTTGCAGTTCAGTTCCATCCAGAGTCTTAATAGCAATCTAATACTGGCATTAATCTGTTCAGGAATTGTTTATTCATAAATGAGCTTATGTCAAATAGATTGGATTACTAGTCGTCAATTACAGATTGGATATTTATAAACTTTTGCTATTATTTGCTGGTGGTATTTTGTTCATGTAGTGTTTATAATAATATAGGTTTGCTTTGATTTAATTTTGTTATGGGAAAGCGATTTATTGTATGTAGTCGCATTATACATAATATCTTCAGGCAGGCAAGATACCTAGTAAACATCTTATGATGCTATTTGGAAGTAATTTATAATTTATGACGTTGCTTGCGAAAAAAAATTTCAAGTCAGCCTACGGGATTATCGCTTCTTCTAACATTTGATGAATACGTTGATCATCATTGCTTTATTTTCTACAAGGTGTTGTCAAAGTATAATTATCTCACAATCACCACCGTATGGTAGATTTTGTGTTAAGATATGTATAACATAGAAAGGAGAGTAGGGGATTTTAAAAGTTTTTTTTACATTTTTAAGAGATAAATATCAAATATAGCCATTTTTTCAACTATTTTATCATTGATGATATTATTTGTAAACTAGATTTAAAGATAATATTAAAGCTATACATGTATATAGAATTTTCACTCGTTTACCGTTAATGATTACAGATTTATGTACCAATTATTTGATCATATACTTTATATCCGGTGATCATTGCGGTCAATTTACTTTTAAAAGGATGCTACAGTATCACGTTTGATAGAAGATTTAAAAGGTAAAAAAAGAAAAAAGGAATTTAAAATATCTTTTCCCTATTTCCAGCAATTCTAAGGTGTCCATTTGACCTATTGTACTAGCGATTTGACGGCTATGATATAACGCTGCTTTGGTAATATTGATTAAAGACACCGTAGAAGATATAGAGTTGTCACTCTTGTCTTCCAATGTTGATAAATAAATTGATTTATTATAACAGATGTAACTTATACACAGTTTCGTGTTATCATCAATATCCAATAATAGCTGTTGCTGATTTAATCTTGCTTACAAGCCTTCAACACCAATCAGCTTTGATTAAGGCATGGAAAGGCGGAAAGAAAACAGAAAGTTGCTATTTTTTTAACATTTCTAAAGAGGAATGATCTCCGTCGACTACTGGTACGGAATACTATTGTCGATGCAATGGTGAAATTGATATGAAGATGGCCTGTAAATCATCTTCATCTATTTTTGCAAGATTAATGATTAAATTAATTCATGATAACAGATTCACCTTTTGCACAATTATGTGTAAGAATATTTAATGATCACTACAATTTGTAGGTATTTCATGTTGACGAGACTTAAAGAATGTTCGATTTGATTCGTCAACATTGAAATTAGACCAGAAATTACAGATTTCATCTTTTTTTTTGATGCTTCCGAGAAAACAGATCATCTAGAGTAATGGTACAAGCTGCTTTCAGAAATTATTTATGAAATAGATTTTTGGATAGCTTATAAACGAGCGGGAGAGTTATCATTTTGTCAGTATTGATTCATGGATTAATTTATTGCGACTGCTTTGCTTTACATATAGTTTTATGTCAGAATAAATACCCGGACGATAACAATGATAGCATCTCTTTGATCTGGGTAGCACTTTTCAACATCGCTGAAGGCGAAGAATGTAGTAAAGAATAGCAATGTAAGTGGAGATTTAAAAGATTTTTTACTATTACCAATAGAAACTGTTGGTTTTGGCTAATAGTACCAGTAGTTTTTCGGATATTATTTGCGAAATGAATATGAAGATAGCCTGAAAATTACCTACAAAGTTCATAGACTATTAGCTTTGATCCATATTTCAATTGATCATAACAGATTTGCTTATAGATGGCGTTACGTAAGCGTCAAGATTAGACTATAATTGTCGCTTAGTTGATCTTCCATGCAACCACAATGTCGTGTTTGATTAACCTTAAGATGAAGAAAGGGTGTCAAGAAAGTGGAGATTTAAATACGTTTCCGTTTTACTTTAGCTACGATAAGATGGATTTCAGATATTATTTGTGAAATAGAAATCTATATCGCCAGGAAACGACTATATTATTTTAGCGCCCACAAATAATTAGTATTAACAGAACAGATTCACTTAAAATACAGCTTCGTCTACAGAAGGTGTAAACATCTGATGATAACTACAGCATATTTGACCTTGCGCACTAATTTACAATATCTTATTGGGTGAAGAGAAGAATAGAAGGGAGAAATTATACTGAGATTTAAAACTGTTTCCAACTATTTTTCTTGCAAAAAACATTACATCCATTTGACTACTCATACTAGTATAATAAATAACTGGCTTTAATATAACACATTCGTTTTAAGTACGAATTTATCTACAGTAAATGCGAACATGCGACAATGACTTCTGAATATTAAAATCTTGCCTAAAGCTTGACATAGTCCTGATTGATAAAAGAGTAGATAAAAGGGAAAATGAAGCCTGGATTCAAAATTATTTTCACCTAGTTCGTTGAGAAACTATCGTATCTATACTAAGACAGGATATCATAAAGTGGATGTAAATAATTATTTCCATATTCTCACGTTCTGTTTCATTAGAGCGCTGTATTGATGTGCTTAGCCCGGATCGCCTAAATGTGTAGTAAAGTCGGTATTCACTCAGAAATATCTGTAAAAAGGCAAAGATAATATTTTCGTCTGTCTATTAATTGAACAAATTGGGAGCCAGTCCAACGTTTCAATTTGTGTAATATGGTAATCATCTGACACGGGTATCCTATCTACTATTCAAGTAATCTTTCATGTAAATGATCATTTTTATATTCTCCCGTTCGATTTTATTGTAATGTTGTATTAATATGCTTCGCCATGATCGCTTAAATGTACAGTAAAGCTGACAATCATACAGAAATACCTATAAGGCATGCATAAGACTTCTTCTATCCTTACAACAATTTCGAAGCCAGTCCAGCGTTTCAAATGGTGTAGTATGGTAATGATTTGCAGCACTACAGGGATCCTGTCCGTTAATAGAGCAATCTTTGATATATAATGATCCATCTCTTTCTTTGCTAATTCTACATCGTAAATGCTAGATCTTGTCCTTGTATATATACAGTAATATTAGTTTCAAACTCACATTATCTTGATATTGTTTGCAGTTTCAATTGACTCTTTAATATGATACCAAAGTTATTTCCTCTATTGGAAGTGCAAAAATTTAAAGATCTAATTTTATGTATTTATAGATCCATACTGAAATTCGATCTACTATTAACAGATATTCTAAAGGATTTTAGCTACTATTCTATTTTCATGTGACTATCAACTTGTAGAAAATGATAGACTATGATTGATAGGGTAATATAGGATGATTGATTTTTTTTACATCGATTTTTATTTTACTTTTCGTGAAATAGACTATGAAAAAATGGCAGTTGTTGTTTCCTTAAGGCTATTGATCAATTGCCGGCTAATGCAAGTTACGACTACAAGACGCTATTTCTTGTAGTAACCGCCGAGTCGTTTTTATGGCAACCCTATGCGCTGGTTTTCTCTTCGAACTGCAATGCTGTAGTTGTGATTGTTACCCAAGGACTAGCATCCCGCGAAAGAAAAATATTTTTATTTTACCATGGCTAATTTCTCTAATAGAGTGGATTGTCTGTCAAAATTTAGTGAAAAAATAGTGCTATAGTCAAATTTAATTTGAATACGAGGCGTAGTGAAGGTATTCCGTGTGAATAATTTTTTGCTATTTATTAAGGATAGAAAGATCGCCGAGAGAAAAATAATATTTTCAATCGATTTGATCGCTATTTCTTTAGCGAAAGTAAGAAATTTGTGTCGTTACTGGAAAGAATTTTGAATCGAAGTTTATCCCTGACTATCATTCATTGTACGGACACTAAAGTGTTTTATTTTGACGCTATAAACCATCATCGTCGATGGTGCATGAATTCAAGTTTAGCTAAAGCGTTGTAAAGGTATTTGAAATCAATTTTTTTAGTTAGAACATAACAAATTAACTCGTTCAACTGTTACCACAATATTATCGTGCGATTTGGGATGTTAAGTAATCAATTTTGACTAGTTAAGTTGAAGGATTCAAGGCAGACAATGAATTGCCCCCCTCCCCAGTAGATTACACTCTTTCCTCGTACTCGTATATTTTGAGAAGACAGAGTGCTTAACTAGGCTTCTTATTGACAATGAATAATGGATGCTATCAACGTTAGGCGTAAAAATAATACAGTAGTATTTTAGGATAGCATTCTTGTAGACGCGGATGATCGTGCAATTATCGTAACGATGTGGCAATTGACACAATCTCGTTGGACTATAAATGATGAAAGCGGAACGATGGCCATTGCCGTTACCATTCCTGTTATGTTAATATTGGCCATCGTTATAATTTGCCTATTTTAATGAACTCCGTCTAGGGTTAGCCAATACGTTGTTGGCACGAAGTGAAACTTCTTGTCTCGTTTAGTTCGAAATGGAAATGGGATGTGCCTGACTACGCCAGCTATCATTACAACGTATAAATTACCCTGGAATAGGCTGTTAAATTAATATTAACGTTCAAAATAATAATGTCACTATTCGCCAATCGTTTCAACACATAATACGTTATAATTTTTCTTACTAATTGGTCGAGTTCAATAGAAAACTGAAAATGAAAATGATAAGGGTAAAAGAAAACATTGTTCCATATCATCACTGGACCACAAAAAATGCCCCCCTCCCAAACAGAAATTGGTAACAAAACGAATGTCATGGTCATCCTTTTACAGCAAAGGAAATTATTTTCCATTCGTGACAAGTGATTTAGTGAAAATAAAAAGCGATTGATCAGACATAGGACTTGACAACGGTCAAGATGGTAAGATAAAAAGCGAGATTATGAGCAAGTACATCGTCAATAGTAGTCATTCGTGACTACCCATGACGTCAAAAAGAGATTGGAATAGCCTCCATTACCTCTCCGATAATACCATCTTGATGATTGACCATTCGTCTCATTCAAAGAATGACTACAAATTTGGAGAAAGAAATGGCTGGCGATGGATGGTTTTGGCTCGATGTTGAAATTTTTCGACCAAATAGGAAAGTTGGTGTTGGCGCAACGATCCGATACAAGCTATCCTCTACGGTCTTCCACTTGGAGGCCTGTCTACGTCAATACCCTTACAGTCGTTTGATGATACAAGAATAAAAAAAAACACCAGACAAAATAGAAGTAGTAGCCAATACAAAACTTTGTAAGTTATCCGATCCTCATTGACCAACTCGACGATATAATTAATTAATCGATCGATTTTTTTCCACTTCAAAGGCGTATTGTACGCTCAGTACAATACTGCAGTTAGATAGCGGACATCAAACAATACCCTTACAAGCAATACCCTTGTTTTACTTAGATAACGATATTCTTTTGTTTGATGTTTGCAAGTCTGCTTGCTAATAGATAGGAATTGATATAGTTCTAGTATAGATTTCTTGTGCATTTTAAGCTATGGATTAATGGATTCGATAGTCGATCATGATGCACTCGAGTGTCGTTAATAGGGGAATACCCTTATTTGACTTACGGTAGTTTATTATCGATGAGAATTTATACTATACCATAGATTACTGGATCGGATAGTCTATCATGAATGATAATATACTCTAGAAACATAAACAGAGGGATACTACTGTATACGCGTATATTCATGATTAATCACCGGCTAGTTCTTGAACGTTTAGTGAATTATACATTGGATAGAATACTGTCTGTAGTGTTGTACTTTCTTTCTATCTTTTACACCATCAGAGAATTGACTTGCGTACTGTAGTACGTTCACATACTGCATTATCGCTATGCTGCACCGGAGTCAGAGGATAATCAATTTTACGGTGTTTGTCTTTCTAATTTTACTGGTCTGCTGGAATCTAAACTAATTAGTAGACAGTCTTTGAAATAATCCAATAATTTTCATCCAGTACAGAAGAATGTCGCTCTTATGCGATACGATGTACAGCTAGTGTAATTCATCCTACTATTATGCTGATACTATGCCGTAGTAATTGATTGGCTTAGCCTGTTGGCATCTAAACTGATTTGTAGACTGTCGTTTAAATTATTCAATAATCTCCGTTAAGTACAGAAGAATGTTGCTACTATACGATAGGATGCACATTTAGTTCATCTAATTATATTATTCTACTTTTACTGTACCTTAGTAATTGACTTGCTTGGTCTGTTGGCAGATAAACTGATTTGTAGACTGTCTTTTAAATTAATTATTTTACGTTAAGTACAGAAGAATGATGCTATCACACGATAGGATACATCCATATTTAATAGTAATACTGTGCCGGGGTAATTGACTGGCTTGATCTCTTTATGGCAGATAAATTGATTTGTAGACCATCTTTTAAAGCATCAAATCATTCTTGTCAAGTACAAGAGAATAATGCTATAATACGGTACGATGCACATATACTTCATCTAACCATTATCATTATACGTACTGTGCTATAGATCTGTGGTAAGATGATAATCCATTGATGGTGTTTGTCTCCATGGGCTATTTTCTGACTTTACTGGCTTGGGACTGCCCCATCTAAACTGATTTATAGGCTCTCAACTACAAATAATTACATTACTTGTATCAAAGAGTGATAAAGAGTACCACGTCTTCAGCGGGCGGGGGGGGGGGGGATTTATAATTAATCAAATAATATTAATGTGATTGTACGTGTGTCACACTGCTATTCTCTAATATAATTATTACCTAAAAATCGCACTATGTTGTCATGGAATCTCTTTGGGTTTCGCTAGTTAATTATTACTACGACATTAATAAATATTAACCATCGAATCGAAGAGAAGCTTTACCCGTACGTCGACTTAATTCAATCAAGTTAAAAATCAGCATACAAGAAATGAGGATACTGTAAGTTAGCCGGCTATAACAATCCAAACTTTCCTGCGTTATCTTCATTAAGCATTAGTTAGAGCTTGGAACTACCATTCAGAAACCATATAGTATATTGATTGCAAAGTTATTCAGATGATGAAATTATATCTTTCTTTGAAATACAGTACTATAAAACAAGGCTCTATCCCTCTTCATTGGCTGTCATTCTGCACCAAAAGTAAAATCTAATCTATCCTCCATCTACAGTACAGTACACCTATATAGACATAAGGTAATGTTGGTAATAGCTTAGAAACCTCGCTACTGGAAACAAAATATTTGAGACGAAATAATGGTGTAACTCATTCAAAATACTTTTAAATTTGCTATTGCACCGTCAGCTCCGTAGGTCATAAAGTACAGCATAATAAAGTAATTCGCCTCATTCTCTATCATTGCGCCAAAGCAAAATCTATCTTCAACCTCTCCTCCATCCACACGTATATATCACAAAGATTAAATTAGGAGCGTCTTAAAATTTGTAGTAGTCCATGGGTAATGGTTTTTAACTTATCATAAATATTCTTCATATCTAATTTCGCCACTAGATTATTAGCTAAAATTCCAATCTCTTGGAAACGAATAACAACGACAAACATTATTAGGGATGCTGGCTGTGGATATGAGATGAAAAAGTTAGCATAAAATAGACTGAATTAAGCATGATCAAAATTAATGGAATGTTGGCAGCTTGATCTCTCAGTTAGCCTGAGAATCATTTTAAGATCCAGTGGAAAGCTTTGAAATTTAACTATATCTGTAAAAATTTTACCGTTATTTTGGTAAAGGCTAGAATAGTGCAAATATAGAACGGTCAATCAGAATGAAAGCATATACGAGTATGCATGGTAGGAATTATATTATCCATCAATTAAAACGTAGAAAAAATTGCACATATGATTATGTAATATAACATCATTTAATAAGAAAGTTGGCTTCCATTTTATTTTATTTTTAAATTTATAATAAAGACTTTTTATTTTAACATTTAGCAAAAGTATCAATTTGTAAGAATGTCTCTAATACTGTTAACTAAATATGAGATTGTATTTTAAATTATAATCGTTTATCATAAAATACCGTACCTATCGAATAATAAAACTATATCAATAAGGGATTTCAGTTCTGTACAAGGTTCTTCAATTACAAATTTTTAAAACATGACAATCAATACTTTGACAGTTGTAATTTGCTAAGTGTCTGTTACAGTATAACAGGGTAAAACCCCAGTATCGATAAATAAATGTATTCTAACAGGAACTTAACATGTTTAGAAAAGAATATTGTTACACCTAGAGTGTATCGAATACATTTGAGATGAATAACGACCTAGATTCTTTTAATGACGCCGTTTTATGATAAGCATTTATGAAAATACAAACTACAGGTAATATCTGCGCACCAACAATTAGTGTAAAAGTCAGAGGTTTTTGTTGTATAGCAAATATGGTTAAAATATATTACATGCAGTGAATTTCTGAAATTAAGGCTCCATATTACTTTCAGTTTGAACAATTTTAGCATCTACTCAGCTATTATATTTCCTTGCTCTCTTTCTTATGCGAATGAGAATTTTCTAGTTGTCTTTGTGCTTCTTGTTGTTCCTTCATCCCAAAATAATTATAAAGTATCACGCATGGCAATATTACCGCTACTCCTCCCACAATAAACCCAGTAGAAACAGAAAAATTGGGATGCCAATGGAAGCCGTTATCAAGAGTAAAAAGTGTCCAAAAGAAGGCAGCCAATGGGGTAACAAGTGCTTGAACAACCACAAGATAGATTGCCCCATCAGCATACCGGATTAGTAGTAGGGAAGACATATTTGCTATACAGTAAAAAATAATGAAAACCCAAGCCGAACCAGCTGCCCATGGAAAGTGAACAAATTTATTTCCAGTAAATTGAGACATGAAACCGCAGTTCATCTGATTTTGAAATTGCTTAAATGTTTTTGCCTAGCCGTTAAAGATTATAATAATTAGTTTATCGATATGGCATAATGCCTTTACTGTAGCTAATTTAAGTAGACAACGCGCTATTGGCTATTGTCGTGAGTGGAGCCTACATAATTATAGTGTTATATGGTAGGATGGTATTTAAGTATCAAAATTTTCTTAGCTGATAATATCATCATAATTATCAATAGAGTAATTATAACTTACTTCTCCAAAGCCAGGAATGAAATCGGTCCAAAACAACATGGATAAACCAGCAAAATTATAAACTTGCATCCATGCTTCAAATACCAATGATTCTTCCTACAATGAGTATGAAATTTAAGGGAAAATGGTGCATTTTTAAGCTATCTATCTTAGCATAATTACTAATACTTGGTAGATTGTCTGTAACACTATCGATAAAATGACTCTTTGGTATAATATCAAGTTTGCAGCTAACCCTATTATCTTTCATGATCTCTCGTTCTTGTAGTACATTTGCAACACCAACTGGCAAAAATCCTAGTGCGAACACGAAAGGCCATATAGCTGAGGCCGATCCACTACTTTGTTTATGATTAATATTAAAGATGTTTGGCTCTAAGGAGATAAACAGCCCAATTAGGGTACCAACGGTGCATATCAATCGGCCGTAGCTAACACCTTTTCTTAAAATGATATAACGCAAGACAACTGTGTAAGGGATTATAGTTGTGCTTAGAATAGCTTGTAAACTGGGCGATGTTCTACTGGGTGGACTAGCATATACCACCAATAATCCGTTGACAGCGTTTAATGCTCCCAAAAGAATTAAATATTTGTGAGAAGTGTAAGTCCTGACGTTAAAAGTTGGACGGCATAGTTTGACGACCACAACAGCGGCCCAAAAAAGAATGGGGAACCACAAACCAGAATAAAATAGGACAAAAAACTGATTACTATGACAGTGACCAGATTCGATCGTTTTGGAAAGAGTAGGTAAACTAATATTCATTCCAACTTGGCTAAGAACATTAATGACAGCTATGAATATACTTGCAGTGGATCGAGTGATGACAACATTACATATGGGTATAGTAACTGTATCTAAACTAGGTACATCCTCTTTACTATTGTTAACGATATCAATCCCATCTCTATGGTTATGATTGGTTGAGCCATTTATTAAAGGAGTTGATTCATTCGATTCCATCATGATGTCTTAGTAGTATAATGTAATTCTCTTCCAAAATCAGCTATGTCTTTTCCTTCACTAGCCTTTTAATACCAATAATTGTAGCGTTGAAAGATTGGTCACCATCCAACAAATTGACTGATGGCTTATATAAACTATGACTTTCGTAACAGCCAAGAAAAGATGCTTCAATGAGGCAGTAATCGTAATTTTCCACCAGAATCAATCTACTGTACGTCGACGGCTAAACTTTCAGGTGGTTTTTGCTTTATTACGTTGACGAATGGCGAGAATTTCTTCTAATCTTTGCCCTTTCCTCTAGATCGTATTCACTAGTAAAGAATCGATTTCATCGGGATAGAAGATAACGTCATTAGATAACAATCCGGTAGGCATGAGCACTGACATCCGCACGTTATTCAGGACACTCGTTGGACCGCTGTGTCATGCGCTAGAACTCGTGATGGTCACTCGACGTCACCTTCTCACACGATTCGTCCTTTACTGTACTGACGTGTACTGTAGTACTGTACAGTGTACACTGTACAGTACATACAGTAAAGTACCGTATTCGAGTTCTGTACTGTAGTGCTCGGTCGTCCACTCTTGACCTGAGAAAGGGTCTATCAGATCCATCGATCCATCAGTTCAAACCGTTATGATCTACTGTACTGTACGTACTGTATACGACTCGTCGAGACCAGGACCAAGGCTGTCTTTCGCGTTTTCTACAGTACTATAGACTCTAGAACAGACTGTACTGTACACTGTACACTGTACTGCGGCCCAGAACGACAGGCTAGGGACGGACGTGACGACGACAGCGACACTATTTTAGTCAGCTCACTACTATCTTGGGGCTTGGTCAGGTTGCTGTCGTCAGCTTCTCGCCTACTTGCCGTCAGCTGTCTGTTCGCTCTCGATTCGATAACGTCACCTACGTCACGGTGACATGTTGGTCGGGTCACCTGGCCTAGCCCCGTTCTGAGCCACCGTAGATAGCGTATCGTAGTAACGATGGGGCATACCACTCTCCATATCAACAAGTGCCTACATGGTTTGCTCGATGAAAGCCGAGCACGGTAGGTTAACTTACCTTACCAATCAATCTTACCTCACGTTATGATGGAGGAAATAGCAATCGTCTCGGAATAGGATTAGTCAATTTCTTTGACCACTTACTGTATGATATGGTATGGTTATGTACCATGCTAGCGAAAGTAAATTAGAAGACATCATTTCAATCCCTTTATCCTAAATAGTTATACGGCGAAAGAACGAATCCCGGTGATTATACAGAATAACCGGCTAAAGTAAATCCTTTATGGAAGCCTTGCTATAGGCATCATTTCATACCGTTATAGGCAAAGTACTACTCTATAAAAATCCTGATTGATACCAAACTACCCTATCTACAAACATTAAGTTCTTTTATTGAACTGTAACACATAATTCGCATGCACCACAATGGAAGAAAACGAAGATTTAATCGATGTTGTTGTAATCACTGGCAATAATCATTCTCCGAACAACAACGGCATAGCATTACCAGTAGGCAATATTTATTGCTCACTACGAGCGACCAGAATTATAATTGCTATCATTTGTATTATATGCCTATGTGGTGCGAATGTTGCCTTACCCGTACTTTCACAAATTCTTTTATCAAATAATTGCCCTAGCAATCAATATTTTACGCTTGTTTCTTGCGACTTTTGGTTTCCAGTTATATTATGGTTATGCGCTATTATAGCTAAATTAGCCAATCCATTGTTTACCATCAAATCTTATACATCACATAAGATCTTTGTGCTGTTAGGTCTCTTAGATACACTCAATGCTTTTATGGTGGTTTATGCTAGCCCTCCGAGCAGAACTTTACCAAGCTTGCAGGCTATACTAAGGACATTACGAATTCCTTACACGGTTCTATTGAGTTACATGATATTACACAAACGTCCCAGTCTTGGCCGCCTAATATGTACATGTGGCACATTGATCGGATTGTTTATTTCTTTCGAACCGATTATTTTCGATATAAATGGTCAATATCGAAAAAAGGGTATTGCCTCAGTAATTTGGCCGCTCGTTTTTGGATTGGCCTATCTACCAAGTAGTTTATCAAATGTCTTGCAGGAAAGATATATTAAGAAAGATGCAAAGGTTATTTGATGTTTTAATAATAATAGTGCTAAAGCAGTTACACGCATATAACAACTTTGTTATTCCACTAGTTATCGTTTCTTGTAAGTAAATGATACCTCCGTATATCCTGTTAATGACACTTTATGTCAATAGGAGGAAGCTCTTGTTTTTATGGCATGGATTCAAACATACAAACTTATTTTCGTTGGACTATTTTTCTGGGCTGAGTTTATACCCGGTTTTGGAACGGTAAATTAGGAAAGACAATGTGAATTGTATTGATAAATACATCTTCAATCTCAGTCTCATCACCATTAATCCATTATTTATAACGTTTTACTTGCAAAATTTACAAGCAATTTAAAATATTCTACAGCACTTTATCATTTAACTCCTATGCAATATTGGAGTACTACATGAATGAATGAAACTGTACGAAATTCCTTTTTTCTAGCAGTTACGACTATACTTTTGGAAGCAACTAGCTTTAGACATGATTCTACTTTTTCAATAGAATTAACTGATTAGCTTCTATATAGTATTAGTTACCAAAGGTATCGAGACATTACCAGTAAAAACAACATCATAGCATCATGTAGCAAGTAATAGTAAGTAGTAGTACCTGTAATGTACAGATGCTATTGTATTCAGCATGATTCTGCAATTTTATAGCAACCATCAGCAGAGGTTAGCTAATGACATAATTACAAGTGGAAATTTTCAGACATTTTGAAGTTTACATTATCTTTTAATAGAAAATTTCACTCCAAATCATTATAAATTGTCTATTCTGATCGCTATTGATTTTGAATTTGACGTAAGAGTTATCTTTTACTAAAAAATTTCGGCCCGAATCATTATAAATTGTCTATTATGATCATTATAGATTTTGAATTTGACTTAAGGATTATCTTTTACTAGAAAATTTCAGCCCGAATCATTATAAATTGTCTGTTTCGATCACTACTGATTTTGAATTTGACTTAAGAATGTAATTGCTATATATATCTATATTTTTTCTAGGCTAAATCTTTCAAACAATTTCAAGACGGCATGTACTGCGGATTCATGGCTCAATATACGGGTAATTCTAACATTCATTATCCTTGGGCTGCTGGCGCATCGTCTGCATTTATATTACTTTTTACTGGAGCTCAGCTTTTTTCGTTACTACTGATTCGTTACACAGATGGAGCTAATTACTTAGTAATCATTCAGGCACTAGTAACTCCTTTGGTTGCCTTCTTTTGGACTTTATTTTCTTCTAAGAATGGTATTCATTGGTATCCTCATTTCACGTTATCTACGGGATTTATTATTGCTAGCGTTTTGGTTATCGTTCCATGCGTATTACTTTATAATTACTTCAGTATTTTAGATGACAAAAAGCGAGCTGCAAGAAAGGCAGCGTTAAAGGAGTATAATGATGATATGTGTGCTTTGACTGATCCAAGTGCATCATCTTAATATTATACGTGTTGATGGGAACTACTGGTATACCTGCATTTCTAACTAAAATAAATAAAAATGTTAAACACTTCAGGAAATATGCATTAACTCTAATTTACGTCAAACTAGCCATACCATCCTATGTAAATAGCATATCTAGCCTCTTTCCTGGTTATTATTAGTGGCTCCTAAGTCAAATTCTATTCAATTCGAAATAGTACCTTATTCACTGAGCATTAGATCCAGGTTCGCAACCGGCAACCTAAAGAAATTCTTACTGGAAAATAGAAGCGAAATATTAGATATTGGCTAATCGCTGATGTTGCTAATCTTAAGAGATATATTAGCATAGCAAGTATATACATGCCATTAGTCATCTTCAATAAGTAACAATTTTAATATTTTACTTTTTGTGAAGTTATGATAAATTTCTATAAATATTTACAGCTTCTACAATACTATGAGCTTCATTGTCTCAATAAATATTGAATACTACATTTGCATTCATTCAATATTTATGTAAATAGAAAATTATATGTCCACATTCACGCAATAAAAAAGGAAATGCTGCAATTGTAGTATTTCTTATTTCTAATATTTTAGTATATAGCCGAGATTTGAAATAAAAGATTCTGCTTCTATTGAATGTTGTAACCAAGTTCAAAGTCTTACGATACCAAACAGAAAATTCTGGCTTAGTTACAGCATGGAATCGATATCATTATTATTTACTAAGAATTTGTCGAAATTAAGAGAAAGTAAAAATGTAAGGTTTCATCAAAAAAGATGAAATAAGTAAATAAAGCGGAGGTAAGCTAATTATCATCAATTTTACCGTACGTGGATTCTATGCAGATAGATAATGAGATAACTCTGTATATCAATACTAAGTCTAAGTTAAACAAGAAAATTGATCAAAATTTTCCTCTTTGTGCATGCTGTTTCGTTCAATTGAATCATTGTTTAAGTTTCAGTTATAAGTGTAAAAATAAAAGTTATCTAGTGTCATGCTGTTTATTACAGTATACTATATTAAAAGTATAATTATAAGCTACTTGTAAAGGATATTAACATCTCATGGTAGTCATATGATAATGTTATGACTTACTCGGACACGTTTATGTACGTAAATAAGAGAAGAGTGTTTATAAGTGCGAAGGGCAGTAGAATCTATAAATTATGTATGACAAGACATTACGTAATATGTATGATAAACAATATTCTAGTAGAATTTCTGGGAATCTATGTACCTTTAGCCCAGCATGTACACATAAAAATCAGAAATAAGAAATTTTATAGTTCGTAGTGAATTTCTGCATGATCATATATATGTCAGTAACCGCCTATTACAGATATGCTAGATTTAGATTTTGATGATCCCCAAAAGGTTTATAAGTATCCTAATGGAAAAAAATGAATCTAAATTCGGTTTTGTTGGGAAATGCTAAAGCAAAATGAGTTCTTTTAAACTGCTCAAGATCGATGTAAGCTCAGTTTAAATAAACCAAAAATTTTAAAGTAAAAAACTTGATCAAGTTTACTTATATCACAGTCTTTCAATATCAACAGTAACAGGTCGCAATAGTAAATAGTAAACAACTGTAGCCAGTCCAATCATAAAAAGGCATACAAATAAAATTTCCAAGAACTCGCAATCATTGCAAATAGAGATACGATATTAAAATGCATTTAAAAGCATTTACTCCCATCATGTACTGGTTGTTGTTAATGTTTATTTATGTAGCTTCGGTATTGCTAATTTTGTTCGATTTTGATATTTTAAGTCATTCAATCACAGCATCCTATTTTTTAATAGAACCACTTTAATATCTCCTATCGCTTAATATTATTACCTATAGACTGAGTCATACAATGATGTGGTGATCTATGATTGATTAAAAATCGCATTAAAATATGTACTATAGTTCTGTCATAACTGCTTAAGCAATAATACCAGGAAAAGAGGTAGTTTATCAAATATATTTTAATTTATTTATTTCACTAAGCTTGCAATTAGCCATATTAGTAAAAAGTTTCAACTGACCTCTAAAGTAGGTTTGTATACTCAATTTTCGGATGCGATATAGGCTATCGTCATCGCTATCTTGCTGTAAATCAACAGCTTCTTGCAGATGACTTTGGAATTCTATCTTAATACGCATATTCATGTATAGATCAGGCATTTAGCTTGATGTTACTTATTGTCACTTTTTTTTCTTGAGAAAAGTATCATTTTGTTACGTGAAAAGATCTTCAATTATAGTATTAATAATAATTATCAGTGCAAGTGTTCAATTACCATGTATTATGGATGCAAATGAAATGACCGTATTAATTCCTAGTCATTCTCAACAAATTGCTGAGGATATAACCAATTGTGTAGGGGAAAAAAAGGAGTTATTAACGGTAGATTTAAACTGTCCATGTGTAATATGCATATCTGCCTGACTTTTATCCAAGCAATTTATAAGATTTTATACCTTGTGAGCTTATTTGGTAGTAGTATTACTTTACCTATTCTGTCAATATACGGTTATATTGAGCTATAACATTTTCACCTCATCATTCCTTACTAAGCAATTGAGAAAATTGAAATGTCTGTATAGTATGAAGCTGCTATGATATAAAAGAATCATTTAATTACTCTGCTGCATCACTGCGTTGCTCTACTATGTTTCTATTGCTTTGCCTGTTCTCCTGATCTCTGCTGAAGTATGTACAGTAAAATTTTCAATCCATGTTGAGCAACGTGCGAGCTGCATTTTATGCAAAGTATCACGGGCCAACCTCAAGATGCACCATACCAGCAGTGGATCCATTTCCCAATACAGTACAAGATGATAGCTCGTCGGATTTTAGAAAATTGTATTTTGTGGATTCGGAATGGATTGGATGTTAAAAACTGGTGTTTTGGAATTCGGATTGGGCAAGACGAACTGTTGTCGGATTCGGAGTGAATAAGAAGGAAGCTGTAAAAGAGTGATAGTCATTGCACCACTGTCCAAGTTCGGTCATCAAAAATAGACGGCTTGCTACTGTCGATAATCCGCATGCAAAATTGAATTAGCCATTCTACCTGTAGTGCATGACCATTAGAGAACATGCTAATCATTGAAATAGAACGTACTGTAAAGCACAAAAAATATTTATTTGTCAATGATTCCAATTAGCCATCTCATATTAACTTAAAGGAATGCAAGCAACACATACACTGTACTGTAGGCTGATGCAGTGCAGTGGATCAATATTGCAGTAATGTGCAATCAATCATCCTTGATCTTTAATAATTCATCATACTTAGAGTTTACAAAATAACAAGAATAGTTTTCAATTATCTATAAAGTAGCAAGAAAACACTTAGCGATTATGACAGCCTTTGGGCTGAAATGAATACTGCAGAAATATACAAATGATCCCTTTGAACGTAAACTCGAGTAAGGTGGAGCACAATCGGTTACTCTATTTTTACATCAAAGTTTTATTGATTCTCTAGAATTCAATACTTCCCTACAACTTATTCATACTAATGTGCCGAACAAATTGCAATTCCGATCCCATTTCTATCATTCTAGCAGTGAAGTCAATCAAGGTGGAGACTGATACCCTAAAAATGGAGTCCACCTGTTCAAAGAGTTACGTTCACGAATCGAAACGATAAGCAATTGCATCATTGCATTGGTAAGAGTATTGCTTCCAGTAAATCACATTTTCTAATTTAGACATACAACAGAACAAAATTGAATTAACAGCTTGGATTAGTGTTGCACTCGTTCTTATTATTAGAATTTATGACCTTTGCTTTGATCGACGTGATCCATTCCAAAGGTAGAAAATGACCATCATGATTCTGCGAGCGATAAGCTTGCTTGATCAAATTCGCTACCATTTATGGACTAAGCTTGTGGGCTTTCCTGCGACGTTCGATGGTCATTGCCATGTCGATTATTCCTTTGCAGCGTGTCGGGGCCATCATTGAATGGTACTGACGAAGAATGGCTACTCATCGTCTCGCTCAAGTCCTGTACTTGATCATAACTCGTACGACCTTGCCATCTTTTCTTTTGAGCATGGAATGGAGGAGATAACTGCGAACCGCTATTCGTCCTATGGTGCTGGTCTGAACACGATGAATTGTCCATGTCGTGAGAGTCATCATCTTGATGGGCATAGTAATCTTGATAGATTGGCGAGGTCATGGACGACAAGGAGAAAATAAATTCGTCTTTCATCGCTCCTTCTTGTCCAGGACTATTACGACTCAAGTTCATGCAATCGTCGCCAGCATCAAGGCTACTGTGACTGCGTTCAGCGCGTTGACGACCATATTTGCAGCAATCTGTACTACACATTGAACTCTTGTCGCTTTCATGTTGACTGCTGTCGTTGAAAATGGCTTGGACTTTCAATCCGGTGGCTACATTGCCAAATTTTCGACTGGTTTGGAATAATTTTCGTTCCCGACAATAAATTTGATATTCTATATCCTGTAGATTGCGTGTAAGTTCTTCTTTATTGGCTTGAATTTCTTTTAGTTTTTGAATGAGTTGGCAATACTCGGCTTGACTGACTCCGTCATCGTAGCTCATTTCGATCATCCAGCACAGCAATAGCGTGTAGGGATGGATAGGGTAAGAATGGAGTTAAACTTTCCTTTTAATTATCGACTACGACAGTCAAGCTTTCTAATTCCTATCGAGGCTGTAGTCAAGTAGATGAATCATTCAAAACGCCACCAAAAGATGAAATGGATGTAGCAGTTTGGATATGGTCGCCCTTGTCCTCAGATCGAAAATGAGTCCAACGACAACTTCGCTAATAACTCCAGCCTTTTTATACGATGGCCTTAACCTTATCTAATGAGGACCACTATTTATCATTAAGCTATCTTGCTTATGATATTATTGTGACCACTTTGGCCACAGTACGGTGCAAATGATTAGCTTATGGTCCAGCAGAAGTCAAACCCCATCTGCAAGAATTTACAAGCTGCTCATTTCCAAAATCAACCAGCGTCGTCA